CAGGCCTGAGGCGCGGCACCTCCGCCAGCCGGGTCGGCTCTCAGCAATACGGGCCCCCAGGGAAGCCTCCGCCGCGCCCAGGGCGGAGGGGCCGGAGGGCTGGCCCTCCTCACAGCAATAGGGGGAGGGGCCCGGCCCCGCACCGCCCGCCCGCCAGGGGCCTTGCCGGCACCTTCAAGCAATAGGGTCCCGAGGGGAGACCCACCCCACGCCCACCCCTTCCCCTCCAGGGTGCCCCAGGCTTTCTCCCAGCAATAGGGTCCTCGAGACCCAGAACCGAACCTCATCTCCGGGTTAGGTCTCTGAAGACGGGGCTGGGGCGAGGTAGGGAGCCCCTTCTCCTCCCTCCTCTGCGCCCCGGACGGACTGTCGCAGAGACTCAGGTCTTCCCCACCCTCCCAAGCCTTCCAGGGCCAGGCCTGTGGCCCAGACGTCCAGGCAGCAGACCAGGGAGGAGGCGGGGCCCAGAGGCACCCCCCTCCCCAGTCTTCGGGACCCCGGGGGTGTTAGGTGGTTAGGAATGGGGAGGAGGGTGGATGGCGGCACCCCTCTCCCCCCCCCCGGTTCCTTATGGGGCCTCAGTCCGAGCCGCTCTCCTACCCTCGCCTCGCATTCTCTGCCAAACCCGAATTCTTCCAGCCCAGCTCCCCGGGCTCTGTCCTCCATAACGAATAATAATGACGCATATCGAATCGCATGGACTTATCCGACCTCCTCAGACCCCGCCCCGCCCTGCCCGGGCCCCCTCGTGCAGGGGCACTCGCTGTCTGAGGGCCGAGCCCTAGGGCCGGCGGGCGCCCGGCAAGCCCTCCGCACACCTCCGTTTTCGCTTTGCGGGTAAAGCCTCCTGGGGGCGGTGCGGATGCGTCGGGTTTCTTTTTTCTGTATTTGTACGTTTTACTTATGAACGGATTGCACTCGGTCAGGGAAGGGACGCTGAGGCACCCCCAGCCTTCCCGCCGACGCCCGGGGCTCGGGATTTCCAGGATCACTTTCCCGGCCCCTAAACTCCGCCCCGGCCCCGCCTCCTGCCCGCCAGGCCCCGCCCCGCCCGCCCGCAAGAAAAGCGGAACCGCACTCGGCTCCTGCTTCCGCGGTGGGCGCTGTGCGCGCGTTCCCGGCGGTCCGGACGCGCAGTCACTCGTTGAGGTCCACGCCGCGATCGCGGGCCGCTGCCCCGACCTCCCGGGCGCACTGGCCTCCGTCCTCGCGGGCCGCGGGCTCCCTGGGGCCAGAACCCGACCGAGCCTCTCTGCCCGCCCGCGGGCCGGGAGAGGCTCCGGCGGACTCAGCAGCCGCTGCCCGGGCGCAGTCCCTCGGCCTGGCCACTTGGCCGGCTCTCCCCGCCAGGCGAGACCTAGGTAGTGGCCTGGTGAAGGGGCCCAACCCAGCCCCGCAAGGCCCCCTGGCTCTCTCCCAGCTCAGGAGGTGCAGCCCCCTCTGGGCGGGCTCACACTGGTGTGGTTGCTTGGCGAGAAGAGGGGTGCGGGACTGAGGAAGGACGGACGGAAGGGCAGTGCGGTTACTCGGTGGCACCTGCCGGCCATAGCAGTGCCGCCTCCTGCTTGCTGCTGCGCAGCTGGGCCTCCCCATGGCATCGGCACACGCAGTCGGGGGAGGGTGGGGCCTCCCACTTGGGGGCAGGAGCCCAACCCAGGGGTGAGCCAGGCGCTGACAGGTGCCCGTGGGCGCACTCCGGCTGGGTAGCCCTGTGCGCTCAGGGCAGGGCTCCAGAGCCCTCCCAGCCAGAGGCCCAGACCCCGGAAGCCAGGGTGGCCTTTCGGGGAACCCACTTCTCGGGCTTTGGAAAGCTCCAGCTTTCCCCTGCACAGCGAGTTACCCTAACTCAGGTGAGGAGAGTTGCTTGCCAGCCGGAAGGCAGAGCAAGGGCTTCAGGGCTCTGCAGGTGCAGGAGGCCTGTCTGGGGAGGTCTCCCGGGGAGCTAGCTTTCGGCCTGCAGTGTTGCGGGGGCCTGGCTGGATCTCTGGGGCGGGCTGAGGGGGCGGTGGGCGACAGGAGGGCTTGCTGCGCCCCAGGGTCACTCCCTGGCTGGGGCAGCCCTCGGGCTGCAGGGGCTGCGGCCAGCTCCCCAGCACCCCGCCCCCCCGCATGCCCGGCAGGCCCTGCGGCCAACACCTTCTCTGTCCCACCGATGGCCTCAGCACCGGAGCGGAGCGAGCGAGCGGGTGTGGGGCTTCGCCGGGAACAGAACTCGAGGGGCTTTGGCCACTGTAACAGGCGGCGGGCGGCCAGCGCCTGGAGAGGGGTGCCGGGGCAGGGCGCCCGGGGCGGGGCGGCAGCCCTTCCTACCTGCACCTCGCACAGCTGGGTCTGGGGGTCCAGCAGCTGCACCAGGACGTGCACTGACAGTTTGGGGCATGAAAATCCCGTATCATGTTTTATGCCTGAAACCAGGATGATCCACGTGCACCAGTGCGTCCCCCACTGGCTAGCTCAAGCAGCTGGCCGGCTGGCTGACCGACCGGCCGCTGGCTGGCCGACCGGCCGTCTCTCAGGAGCCACCTGCCAGGCTGAAGTGCAGCCGGGCGACTCAGCCAGCTGCACAGCGACTGGCCCCCCCCCCCCGAGTGGGGTTAGCGCTGCGCCCCCGGAGGCCCCACACACCAGCGACGGCTCTTCCGAGAGATGAATGTTCCGAACCCAGCTCTCGCCGCGCAAACTACTTTCCCTACCACTTTTACAAACTTATTTATGCGTACGAGACTGGGGTGCGGGCCAGAGGTGCAGGGTGAGAGGATGCCCCAGAGACGGGGGAGCAGCGAGCAGACGAGGGGTCTGCTCACCCTGGGCGAGTGTGTGCTACGACGGCTGCGGGGGGCTCCCCGGCAACGAGACCCCGGCGCCCAGGGGTTCCCCGCAGAGCACTTCAGGCCTCACGGAGCTGCCCGCAGGAGGTGCGCCATCAGGCTGCCGGCGCCCAGGGCACGGGAAGCCCCCCTTCCTGTTGCCAGTGTCCCCCGATGGCCACTCAGCGGCACCAGTCGGGTTCAGAGGGCCCCGGCTCCGTCCCGGATGGAGGCACCTCGGCGTGGTCCCCGGGACGCCCACCTCTGAGCGGCACACACGCACGGCCACATCGAGGCCCGTCCTCAGAATGGACACGAAGCCGCCAGGAAATCTCAGCGCCGCCTGGACGGGCCTTGGCGCACGGCCGCTGCAGCCTGGGTTCAGCCCCTGGGCGGGGAGCCACCCCAGGTCACAGCAAGCCCGCCTGTCTCCTGTGGCTCCTTCAGCAGCGAGTTTTAGGGGATCTGCCTGTCTGCTCCCCGCAGTCTCTGGGGGTGCTCACCCTTTGCACCCCGGCTCTTACATGTCTAAGTGAATGATAAAAGCAGTAATTTCAAGGCGCTAAAACCCGTAAGCTCCGGGCCCCATCCTCACGACACGCCGTGGCTCCGTGTCCCCGTCCTCATACACACGCACCGGCCGCAGTTCCACTGGCCCTGCCGGGAACCCCAGGGCTGGCCGCGCAGCGCCCACTCACCCAGGCCCTCAGTCCCACCAGCCGACGCGGAGCCAGCAGCTGAGTCCCCAAGACGTGCCCTGCGGTCGTGCAGGGGAGCGGCGCAGGGGCGGCCGGGGAGCTGGGTCCGAGCGTGGCGGGGCGGCGGGGGGAGGGTGGCCTGCCCTCCAGGAGGCCCGAGGCTTCTGAGCAGAGGGTGGTGGGGAAATCCCACCTGAGCCCAGCGAGGACCCCGGGCGCTCAGCGCCTCAGGTGCGACTGGCCCCAAGCCTGCGGGCAGCCAGCCCCGCCACAGGCCCCGTCCAGCTGGGGAGGCAGGACACCGCAGCAGGCCACTCCGGGACCCGCCCAATTCCGTGAACGTGGAGCGAAGCCCCCCACTCCCCAAGGCCGACCGGGCCAGCGCCACAGGAGGCCGCACAGCGCCCGAGGCCGGGATGAGGCGCTGGCCCTGCCGGGGCGCCCAGCAGCACACAGAGCCCTGTGTTGGTTCATGAGCTTTACAAGCCGTCAGCAAACCCCTCCCGGCCACGTATAAACATCCGCACAAACGCAGCCCGGAGGCCGCACTAGAAAAAGTCCACGGCCCTGGGCCGCCTGCTCGGGACGGCGGCCGGCAGCTTCCTGGGCCCCAGGGGCGGGCTGGCCGGGGAGCCGGTGGGGGTCTTGAGCACGCCGTGCAGGGGCCGCTGCTCCGGGTTGAAGGCCACCCGGGAGAGGCCCTCGGGGCTGACCAGGATGCTCCTGTCTGTCTTCCTGAACTCTGCCCGCAGAGCAAAGGCACGGTCAGCGGGGAGGTCGTGCCCGCGGCCGCCACCAGCCGGGCACTGGGCCCGGGGGCCCTTCGGAGGCTGCCACCAGCTGCTTCTCTGGGGAGGACGCCCATGGGCACAGGCAGGCTGAGGGGCCGGGGGACCAGCTCTGGCGGGACTTGGGCCGGGGCGACTCGAGCCCGAGTGCAGGCAGAGCCGCAGGGAGGCCGCTGTGGGACAGGCCTCCCGGGCACCCGCCCCCAGGGCCGGGGCGTCCGTCCCCCACCCCCCACCAGCCCTCAGGCAGGGCAGGGCTGGGGTCCTGGCTGGCCTGTCCGGGCCCACAGTGGAGGTGGGGGAGACGCCGGGCGCGGCGGGGGCTCAGGCTCACCTGCGGTCATGTTTCTGCTCAGCCCGAAGGTGACCTTCTTGGAGCTGGGCGGGGCCTTGAGCTGCAGCACAAGGCGACACGTGAACTCCCTCCCTGGCCCCCCGCCCCCCAGCCCTGGCGTCGCCCTGGTGTGCCACGCGAACAGCCTGAAACCAGTGGGGCAGGAAAACGCGCCGGCTGAGCCCCCCACCGCGGTCCCCGGTCGGCCCGGTGCGGGGAGACCACAGGCTTGGCACAGAGCCCCACACCGTTGCCTCAAGCCACGGTGAAAAGCGCACCCCCTCTGCCAGGAGGCACCCGAGCACCCCCATCCCCGCAGACAGCCCCACACCGGCCCCGGCCCCGCG